AAAAAGAGCAAACCAGATGTTTTGAGAAAGGCTAGTATTCGAAGACCACTTATCACAAACATCAAACAGAGACACTTATCCTGTTTGTGGGCAAGAAAACTGGAACATGCTGTGACCCCTGGCAAGATTTGTGGAAAGAGAGACAGAGGAAGACAACGCGAGAAGATCCATGACCGCCTTTTATCATGGCAAGCAGGGGTGTCAACACACATTCGGCAATACACGCAATAGCAGAAAGCAGACTGTGGAGAGGCATGATCGTCTGCGCCAGTCGGCAAGGCACGTGATGACGATGATGATGAGATATGGTAAGACACAACAGGAAATCCTAGACCGTTTCTAAACGCACCAAAACACTCAAACAGAATCTTGCGGACTGGTATGGGCGATCATGTCTTTCCAATAATTAGGATCTCTAACAGTATATCACAGTTGATAGTTTCCTAGTTATAAAGTTAATGTTGAAGTAGAGAGAATCGACTTAACTGCCCCGGGTTTGATCCAATGTGACCTAGTCTCTCTCCAGGAACTCCGTAGCTCCGGCGACGATCCCTATAGACCGCTGTGTGGTTAAAATTAATGGGGGTTTTTTGGGGGGGGGGGGGGGGGGGGGGGTTGTAAAAAAAAATGTGTGCGAGCCATATATTCTCTTTCATCTGCATTCGCATATCTCTGAATGCCATTTATAAGCCACGATATGGCAAGGGTTATTGGCAAAAGTAAGGCCGTGGGGAACACAGCCATTTACAGAGTAAATGAACTCTGAACTGTTAGAAGCGGCATTGTCAGCCAGAAAAGGTTAACTGGTTGACTATTCCTATCATAGATTTAAAGAGGCAGGACCTAAGGGACAACGAACAAAGATACCCTAGATTTCCTGGGGGTTTTCCATCCAATTATACAAAGTGGTTTGGAAACCCCTCTTTGGCGGGAAAGAGAAAGGATAATGAACTAAGAAGACACAGTTTCATGAACTCAGGTACAAAGGAGAGAGGCATAATCTAGTAGCATGAGGCAGTGCTGCCAATGATGGGTTTTCACCCCCCGGATCTAGGTTTTTATTTGACGCCTTCGGTTCATATTTTGAAATCTGGGTTGTTGTTTTTTTTTAAATATATATCCTTACATAAAAGTGGATAAATGTTTCGTTTCATAACTAAAACAGTATTACTTTTTAACAATCTTTTTTTTTTTTTTTTTTAATTTTTTATTCTTTGCTTGTGTATTGCTTGGGTTTTTGTTCAGTTTAGCTGGGATTTTCAAAAAATCCCATTGGCAGCCCTGGCATGAGGAGTATATACACTGCCAGCGATTATGCTGGGTGACACTTGTGCTGAGACCGCTGCCAACAACGCCGCCTATGGCTGTGGGAAAATACACCTATTTTGGATGGTGCCGAGTCCATACTTCTTTTGTGGAACTTGCCAGACAATGCACGAATTATTGCTGGATGATTTGTTACATGACACTTCTGGTCATGGTGAGGGTTGGCTAAATGGTAGTCGGTAGTTGTCAATAGAGTAGATGGCTAGATGGTAGCCGGTAGTTGTCAATATAGTAGATGGCTAGATGGTAGTCGGTAGTTGTCAATAGAGTAGATGGCTAGATGGTAGTCGGTAGTTGTCAATAGAGTAGATGGCTAGATGGTGGTCGGTAGTTGTCAATAGAGTAGATGGCTAGATGGTAGTCGGTAGTTGTCAATAGAGTAGATGGCTAGATGGTAGTCGGTAGTTGTCAATAGAGTAGATGGCTAGATGGTGGTCGGTAGTTGTCAATAGAGTAGATGGCTAGATGGTAGTCTGTATTTGGAAATAGAGTAGATAACTAGATTGTTGTCGGTATTTGGCTCATTATTTGTTGAGTATACGTATCTAGTTGGCTAAGTGGTAATAAATGATTAATTGCATTAAAGGAGATTCTAGGAGTCACTTGCTAGTTTATCGTTGAGTAGCAGAGTAGATTCTGCGGTCAGTTGCAATGAACTTTTAAAACTATCTGAGGTTTTACAGTGTGGAGACGTTCTGTTTATAACTTAATATATAACGTCTTTTGTATGGAGGTCATCTTAGTTGTGTAATAGGAGATATACGATTGTAATTGTAATTCTCTTTATTAATACACATAATTGTTAGTTGTTATTCTTTTATTCCATTGTTAGTTTGTTGAGTATAGGAGTGGTGCTTTATTTAGTTGTCGTAGTCTCTAAACTACTTTACTGTACTCTCTCTTTCATACCTTCACTGACTATTACCTGATCGTCTAGGGTGTAGACTTATTACTACACTCTCCACGTAGGAGAACCTTTTGTCCTCTCATATATCCTTTAACTATTATTCTTGTCGTCTGTCTGTCTGTCTGTCTGTCTGTCTGTCTGTCTGTCTGTCTGTCTGTCTGTCTGTCTGTCTGTCTGTCTGTCTGTCTGTCTGTCTGTCTGTCTGTCTGTCTGTCTGTCTGTCTGTCTGTCTGTCTGTCTGTCTCTCTCTCTCTCTACACACACACACACACACACACAAATATATATATATATATATATATATATATATATATATATATATATATATATATATATATATATATACTTTTTGTATGTCTCCTCTTCTTCTCGTCCCTTTCAAAATGTTCCCTGTTACAAAAGGGCACTGTTCCAGACCTTGAGTTGTACTGGGTACCTAGGGCAACACCTATATTTTCAGACCAGCTGGCATTCGCTGGGTAATGTAGTCAACATGAGGCCAGTCGCCTTTACTTTCCATGACTTTACATGGTACCATCTGAAGGCTGGGAGCCATGAGTCTTCTACAAAGTATGGAACAATAACACCTATTCAGTTCACCCCAAGATCTAGAAAATGATCGTGTCATTGTTGTGTTTAATGTCTGAATGGAGAAGAGGGCTCAGCGATACACCAAGAAGCATGCACAGAGTTTATATTCACACACAGTTTCATCTAGGTGACATCTGACATGCATGTGACAAATGACAACTGGCATTCAAATTATCACAATAAATTCCTACAGTTTATGTTTGTGTTCATTCGACGGATCAACATCCGGGCACACGGGTGTAACCCATCGGTGCTCCTTTCTACTTCTAACTCAAGCCTGAGTCTAAAGAATCTCAGCGCAGTGAAGGAACTCCGTTGCATCAGCGAGGATTCTAAAATACTTTAGGTAGATTTTAAACTCCAAATTTAGCTAATCTTTTTCGATTTCCAACTGCCAAAGGAATTTTTACGTGCGCAAGAATACACACGGGCGTCCAATCTAACTTCACAGAGACCAAGGGAAATTACTAGAAAATAAAATAAAACTAGAATTCTTACAGGAAAAATCACACACTGCTACACATGACACCAGGCTGGCATTTAGCCTGTTACGTGTGCCCCAGTATATAACTTCTTGTGAAGTTGAACAGGGTATATGGGATTATTCCTGCTGAGGTGCCCGGTTTGCCCTTCAGTCTGACTTTTTTTCAATCTCAGGTGGTGAAAAATTTAGGTAGGAGACCGTGGATGGAAAAAAGAGGGGGAGGGGGCGATTATGTTGAGAGAAGAAAAAGGAAATTAAAGATATGAATCTTCTAATGGCATCTAAGTTGAATAGGTGAATTCAACAATACGTGACCCAACAAGGCGAACAAGGAACAATTGTACCAGCCTGACCAAGCGCCTCAGTGCTCTGCTTGCTTTAGTTTCTGTATAATTACCTTCACTGAAGGCTTGGATAACTCAGTAATTGCAAAGTCATCAAAGACATGGGTGTGTGAGTGGGTTTGTCACTGTATGAGAGAGAGAGAGAGAGAGAGAGAGAGAGAGAGAGAGAGAGAGAGAGAGAGAGAGAGAGAGAGAGAGAGAGAGAGAGAGTAGGTGGGGTGGAGGTTGGAAAGGGTCCCCTGGTCTCTGGGTAATAAGATCGAACGCCTGCGTGTATTGTTGTGCACGTAAAAATACTTTGGTAGTTGGAAGTCGAAAAAGAGTAGCCTAACGGCGTTGACCCAACAACTTTTGGAGTTAAAAGTCTACCCATTAAAAACAAAACGGAGTTCGTGCACTGCGCAGAGACTCTTCAGACTCAGACTTGAGTTGGAGGTAGAACGGAGCACTTATGGGTTTACACCCTGTGCCATGATGTTGATCCGTTGTTTAAACTAAACCTAACTAAACTATTCTTTTCCAGTAGCTTTGGCAGAATACTTTTTTTCCCCACAGACACATAGGTATTATCCTTACTTTGGATTCAACTGGCTTGTCTAGAGGGGGATTGTCTTACATAAGCATCATATGGCCTCTTCAATCCTACCCAGACTTCATAATATGAAGAAGAGGAACTTAATCCTATGTGGAAACTGGCTGTTTTTCCCATGCTTCTCAATAACCTTAGCGCTAAGAAAGACGGTAATAGTGCCGTCGACATTATTTTCTTATAAGTAATGAAGCGCAATGAGATGGTGAAGAGCTTGATGAAAATGGGTATTAAACAAGGACAAGCATGCAGAACAATACATGTCAACCAACTCCTACTTAGTACTGTGAGCATGAAGATATTGAGATGGCAGCTGCATCGAAGGACAGCGAACGAATGGATCGATTTAGTAGGATGTCGATACGTAATGAAGAGCAATGGTGCTATAAGACTGGGCTACAACAACATAACAGTGTGACCACAAAGCAACGAGAAGGGCGTTTTTAGTCAAAATCAAATTCTTGAGTGGTCAGACTGCAAACAAAACAAAACAAAAATAATACAAACAAAAATCATTGGTAATTCAAAATAAGAAAATGCCAGGCAGTTCCTGTACTTTTAGCGTTTGAAACATAAATCAAAAGCAAACCTATCGGGGCACAGACCTAGTTTCTCCCACACCCAAAATAAAAGATGGTCAGGGTAGACGGGTGTTGAATTTAACACACACAACAGACTCACATGCGGCCTCGGGATCGACAACATAAACTGGTGCTCATACATACGTAATGGTGACAAAGTACTCAGAAACTAATGGCGTCATAACGCAGTTTCGTCATGGGTAACGCCCGTACTTTTTCCGTTCTCTGTGGGCAGCGTCATGTACTGGGAGTACTCTTTCTCCGGGGGCATGGCGGCTCCAGTGAAGAGTCGCTTGAAGGTCTCTCGGAACTGTTTGCTCATGCCGCAGTAGATGAAGAAGTTCAGCGGATAGCTCAGCAGAATGAAGAAGTTGGCGAAGAGGCTGGCGACCTGCGGGTGAGACAGGAACATAGTTCAATGTTAGAAAAACGTGCTTGTCTTAGAGAAGATACATTGTTAGGTTCAGGGAGACAGACAGACAGAGGCAGGTAGGCGGGCGAATGGACGGTTGGAAAAATGGAGAGGCCGATATCCATAGAATGACAGACAGACAGACTGACTAAAAGAGCCAGACAGAGACAGGCAGGTGGGCGAAAAGACTGTTGGAAATAAGGAGCAGCCGACATCGATAGAATGACAGACAGACAGCTGATAGACAGACAGAGAGACCTATAATTTGATAGACATATAGGCAGACAGATCGACAGACCGACAGACAGACAGACAGACCGACCGACCGACCGACCGACCGACCGACCGACCGACCGACCGACCGACCGACCGACCGACCGACCGACCGACCGACCGACCGACCGACCGACCGACCGACCGACCGACCGACCGACCGACCGACCGACCGACCGACCGACCGACCGACCGACCGACCGACCGACCGACCGACCGACCGACCGACCGACCCGACCGACCGACCGACCGACCGACCGACCGACCGACCGACCGACCGACCGACCGACCGACCGACCGACCGACCGACCGACCGACCGACCGACCGACCGACCGACCGACCGACCGACCGACCGACCGACCGACCGACCGACCGACCGACCGACCGACCGACCGACCGACCGACCGACCGACCGACCGACCGACCGACCGACCGACCGACCGACCGACCGACCGACCGACCGACCGGACGGACGGACGGACGGACGGACGGACGGACGGACGGACGGACGGACGGACGGACAGACAGACACAGACAGACAGACAGACAGACAGACAGACAGACAGACAGACAGACAGACAGACAGACAGACAGACAGACAGATAGATAGATAGATAGATAGATAGATAGATAGATAGATAGATAGATAGATAGATAGATAGATAGATAGATAGATAGATAGATAGATAGATAGATAGATAGATAGATAGATAGATAGATAGATAGATAGATAGATAGATAGATAGATAGATAGATAGATAGATAGATAGATAGATAGATAGATAGATAGATAGATAGATAGATAGATAGATAGATAGATAGATAGATAGATAGATAGATAGATAGATAGATAGATAGATAGATAGATAGATAGATAGATAGATAGATAGATAGATAGATAGATAGATAGATAGATAGATAGATAGATAGATAGATAGATAGATAGATAGATAGATAGATAGATAGATAGATAGATAGATTGATTGATTAGATAGATAGATAGACAGACAGACAGATAGAAAATGACTACCAGGCCAAGGCGACAGGCTTGATGTTGACCATTATTATTTATTTAATTAAGATGCTTTTTTTTAGCCGACCACAGATGACGTCACGGGACAGTCCAATATTTTAAAGGGTGGTAAAAGCAGGTTTTTGTGTTTTCTGTGCTGTGGCGCGTTTCTTCCCAGGTTAAGGTTTTCGCACGTTAACCTAACCCTAACCCTAACCATAACCCTAACCTAACCAAAACTACATGTTTAATCTACCACCCCCTGAAATTTTTGACTGTCCCGTAACCTATGATTTCCCCTGTTTGTGGTCCGTTTTTAAGAGAAAACCAAATTTTTTAGCTTGATATGCCCCGTCACATCAGCCACCTGGTCGCTGGTCGCCCATTGGTTAGTGGTTAGACGACTTCGTCGCCGGTCGAAACAGTATTTGAATCTGTCTCCTTTGAACGCACCAACACTGTAAGAGTTCTTTTCCGAGCTACTTTGTGGCGAGCAATGCTAAGCCATTTTGTCTGGCGCACATAACCTAGTCACAATTATAACCAAAAGCTCCCCCCTTAGGGGATGCTGGTTGAAGGTGGCCATTTGTTTCTTCGCAAATGCATCTGCCCGATGCTCCAAGGAATGCTCCAAGAGGATCCTTGACTTTACTTGTCTGAGCGCGATCAGTACCTTTAATCATCTTTTTGATTCGTCAAATCATGTAGGTAACTTGACAACACGTGCCTTACTCCTACGCGGCTCTATCTACCGAGTTCCGCCATTTTAGAATCACTGAGCCCAGCTGTAAAATTTGTCTCACTTCAATTTCCCCGAGCTTTAACCGGCAGTAATTAGCCGATTGGCTGAATAAGGCGGAAACACGCCCACAACCGACAAAAACCAGACCACCTCACAATGGCGGGATAATTGTTTTATAAACAAAGTTGCCATGGCAACCGCTGGACTGTTATGGTTAAGTTTTGGAGCCGTCTTCGCTGTAATGGACAGCAGTGCTACAGTTTCGCTGGATAAATTTCACGAGGAGACTGTCAAATTTTTTCAAGGATTCGGTAGTTATGTCTGCTCACTATAATCTCACGTGCTATTTCTCTCTTTGTTTTCTGTCTTCTAGATGCGTGAACGAGCGCGCGCACACACACACACACCCACCCACACACACACACCCACACACACAGACCCACATACATACACACCCACACACACACAGACCCACACACACACAGACACACACACACAGACCCACACACACACAGACCCACACACACAGACCCACACACATACACCCACACACACACCTACACACACACACCCACACACACCCACACACACACACCTACACACACACCCACACACACACAGACCCACACACACAGAGACCCACACACACACGGACCCACACACAAACACCCACACACACACACACCCACACCCACACACACACACCTACACACCCACACACACACACACACACACACACACACACACACACACATAATCATCATGGCGATCGTGTGCCCAGCCCAGCTATGTAGACCTTGGTGACTTTCAACAGATCTCGGTCCATGGTAATCCTTTAGTATTTTTGTTTCCAGTCAGGTGCCGCCTCCACAATAAAGGTTGGCTGCAATGGATCTCCAACACGCCCTTTCGCTTATCCTGGTTGTACACTCTCTCTCAAAATGCTGCCCATCCATCTATTGATGTTGTGGACCCACTTGTATCGTTGCCTACCTCTTGATCTCTTGCCTTCGAGCTTTTCCTCCAGTCTTGTCTTGTCTTGTCCACAATTGCCTCACAGCGTAGTGGGGAGTCGCAGTTTTCTATCCTGGGCCAGGTGTGTTGCACGTGTTGTTGTTAGTCCGTGTTGCCTCAGGATCTCTGATATATTGTCTATCCATCGTACTCTCGGTCTGCCTCTTGCTCTAGGGCAGTAGTGCTGTTCGTTGTATGCTCGTAGAGGCAGTTGGTCGGTTTGCATTCGCATCAAGTGGCCAAACCACTCTATTTGTTGCTTCTTTATGTATTGCAGGCATGGTGTGGTTCCTACAATTAACCTAATGTTCTCGTTTCGAACTCTGTCTCTCCTTGTGACATTGGCAGCCTTACGTAAGCATCTCATTTCGCATGTCGTGATCTTTTTCTCCTGTGCTCTTGTTAGGGACCAGGTTTGGCATTGGTAGCAGAGGATTGGTATAAACATGCAATTTATCAGTTGTCGTTTTAGTGCCATAGTGATGCTTGGGTGTTTTAGCAGTGGGGAGAGTTGGTATGTTACTGCGTTCGCCTTTTGACATCTTGCCTCAAGTTCCCTATCAATTCTTCCATCATCTGTGAAGATGCTTCCCAAGTATTTAAATTGCTGCACTTGTTTAAGTTGTTCGTTGTTAACTTGAATAGTTAGTATATTAGGTGTTCTACTTATTTTCAGAATTTCTGTTTTGGTGATGCTGATCTTCATGTTATATTCGTTGCAGACGGTGTGTAACGCATTTACGTGGATTTGAAGTTCTTTTTCGTTTTCATGTATTATGCTTTGGTCGTCTGCGAAAAGTATTTCGTTCAGTTGGGGATATACTTCATCAGGATCGGCGTGTATGTTTTCATTATAATGATCTCTTTCAACTAACTCTGTCTCACTGCTTGGTGTAGTTAACAGTTCGCTTTTCATTACATGGTTTGCTGCTGTTGTTATTCTGTCCATGTATATATTGAATAGTAGTGGTGATAGTACACAACCCTGTCTTACTCCTGTTCTTAGTATGAATTCGTCTGTCACACCAACATTTGTTCTAACTACGCTTGAGCTTGTTTGGTACAGAGATCTGATGTTGTCTAGTAGCTGACCTTGTACTCCATAGTCGTTCAATATATTCCATAGTTTGTTCCTGTCTACCCTGTCAAAGGCTTTCCTCCAGTATGGTTTTTAAAAATGTGTTATGTCTATTAATGTGGCCCAAGTATCTCAACTGTCTCTTTTTTATTTACTTCAGTATTCTCTCTTCATTTGTAGCCCTTCCAGACACTCCGTATTGGACTGTTTTTGTTTCTTTGAAATACCACCAATTTTTCTGTATACCCACATCTCCAGAGGATCAATTCGGTTTTCATTTTGCTTGCTCATTGTCTAAGTTTCAGCACCATAAAGCAAAAACTAAGAAATTTAAAAAAAACAGTGAAGGTCCTTTTTCCACGCCTTTAGGCTTATAGGACATATAGGTTAGGACCCTAATCTGCTCAAGATGGGTGATGTCGTCAGCATCACCCCGGCCACCTTTACTTTCTGGGACTGCACCCAGTACCCACTCAAGGCTGGGTCGACCTGTGAGTCAAGATCATTTTTAAAAAAAACTTTGTATATATAATATTTTTAGTTTGTTGTTTGTGTATGTGTGTGTGTGTGTGTGTGTGTGTGTGTGTGTGTGTTTTAATTGTCACAATAATTCCAATCATCCTTACTTCCTGTTGCCTCTCCTTGGCTTATTCTTGGATTGAGTCAACGCGTAAGACTGAGTCATAAATGCCAGTGTTAAACAACCTTTCACACTTACAGTGTGTCGATGTTCGCTTAACAGTATCCCTATAGCACTAAAACTGTTATGTTCTTGGCGTGTCATGTGTTGGTTGTTTTCAGCGAGTTCATCGTTTATTGTGTTACCAATTCCAGTGTGTTTAGCTGTCTTTCGTTAGTA